TGGGCGAGGGGCAGCTCGGCACCGTGTTGAAACTTAGGGTTTAGGGTTTAGGGTTTAGGGTTTAGGGTTTAGGGTTTTAGGGTTTTAGGGTTTAGGGTTTTAGGGTTTAGGGTTTAGGGTTGTAGACATGTCGTATGTGGGGGTTTCCGGAAATCTGGGTAGCTGAGTGGTACCCTGTTGCCCCTTTTTTGGTTCTGGGTTCCCTTATAAGAATGAGCAACTCCCCAAAAAAGGTACCCTTGTTATAAGATGCTTACTCGGCTACCAAGAAATAGGGGTACCTTTTTTCGAGGAGGGGATGCTGTTCTATTTGGGGTTATATCTTTGGGTTTAGGGTTTAGGGTACCCCTTTTTTTCCGGAAATAGCCATGTGGCAAGCTATAGCCAGCTAGCCCAACTGCAACGCTTGACTGACATGCAGAGCAACAAGAACCCTCTGGTTCTTCGTAGAGCATGATCGAATTAGGGCCCCCTCTAAACGATTCTATCGGCTACCTCATTCCCTCTTTTTTTGATCCAAGAACCAGCCCGAAAACCGTGTAGCGTTGATTCCCCGATGGAGGCGGGCTACTTTGCAAAGGGTCTCTTGTTTGTTGCTTGGAGAGGGTTGGGGTGCGATACTTGGATTGACCCTCTTAAACCCTCTAAGGACGCAAAACCCGTTTGGCCTATGATCTTAGGCTCTTGGTCGGACAACCAGCAAAGAAGGAATTGGGTCTTAACCGTGTGAAGCCCTAAAACCTAACTAGACCCTAAACCCTAAACCCTAAACCCTAAACCCTAAACCCTAAACCCTAAACCCTAAACCCTAAACCCTAAACCCTAAACCCTAAGCCCTAAACCCTAAACCCTAAACCCTAAACCCCAAACCATCAGCTGTCATCGCGGTGCTGCGCCGCCCGTTCGCCATGCGGCAAATGCCGAGTTGTGCTCTAGCTCCAGCAGGAGCCAAGCTTTTGTTGAAGGGGTTTCCCAAAAATCGAATATGAACCTTAAACCTAGCGTTGAGCCAAAGCCCAACCCCCGAATGTAAACCTGAAACCGCCCTAAGACCCAAACCCTAAACCCTAAACCCTAAACCCCAAGAATTGAGCCAGGGGTGTGCTCCCAGGCGTGCGGCGGCCAGAACCGATGCCTGGGTCGTCGTTTGGTTCACTGACATTGTGTCGTGGGTTTAGGGTTTAGGGTTTAGGGTTTCGGGTTTAGGGTTTAGGGTGTTAGCGTGTAGGGTTTAGGGTTTAGGGTTTAGGGTTTAGGGTTTAGGGTTTAGGGTTTAGGGTCTAGGTTTTTGGGCATTCCTAGTAGCGATTGGCCGCAAGAACCAGGAAAGCCGGTGTGTCTCCATGCCATACTGCACGAAATCTGCAAGCCAAACCTTTCACCTCCAACGTAGAACTGCAAAGCCCTTAGCTCCAAGCCCCTAAGAGTAGGGTTTAGGGTTTAGGCTTTAGGCTTCCGGCTTCACGGTTTAGGGTGTAGGGTTTAGGGTTTATAGGCGGACGGGTTATGGCTCAAGTTCAGGCTCACTGGGGTTTAAGCCTGGGGCGTTCGGTTTAGAGGCTGGATTGTGGGGCTTCTGGATTTGCCAAGCCAAATGATTTTCCATAGAGCCCTAAACCTTAAGTAGACCCTAAACCCTAAACCGAACTTTAAAACAAGAGCCCCCCCCCCCCCCCCTCCACCTTCTACTCTGGACCATGGATAGCTGGCTAGCGTCTCAAACAAAGCCCTAAACCCTGAACCCTAAACCCTAAACCCCAAACCCTAAACCCTAAACCCTACTATCGAGCAAGAGCCTCCATGGATAGTTGGCTGTCGCCTGCTGGAGAAGCCCAGATTTTCACCAGGGCTCTTGAAGCGTCCTCGCACAGTACAGGGCAGAATCATCTGCCACCACCAGCCTTTTGTGATGCGGAAGTGCCTTCCTCTAGGGTTGGGGGTTAGGGTTTGGGGTTTAGGGTTTAGGGTGTAGGGTTTAGGGCTCTTTCAAGGCCGAGATCTTGGATAGTCGGGCCAAAAACCCGTACCCTATAATCTCTAAACCAAGTCTCTCTCTGGCGCTGGGGAGTCTACCGTAAATTCCTATGTGTATGTGTCGCACACACCCTCCACCTAAATGTGTTGGGTTTAGGGTTTGGGCCGCGAAGCCCTAACCCGTAAACCCGTAAAACCTTTTAAGCCCTTAAACCCAAAACCCTAAACCCCAGCCAAAGAAAGACGGTACCAGAATGCAAAAAAGCAAGTCTGTACTATGATACGTGCATATAAGATAAGACTCATGTTAGCGTTGAGGGTTTAGTGTCTAGGGTTTACGAAGAATAGTTCATAGCTTTCATCATCTAGGGACCTTGAGGAATTATCTTGACATTCATCGCTCTCATGCAGTATATGGGCCTGTTGAAGGTTTTGTTGTCAATGCATTCCAGAGGTCGTGTTTTGGTACTTATCCAGCCTCCTGGTGCACATGCTGTTCGAAACTAGGGGTCCACACCCTGCACACGGACAGGCACACACACAAACACACCCACAGACAGACAGTTCTTCCCTAATCACAATCTAAACCCTAAAGTTTCACAATTGCACTTGCATGTGGCTAAGGGAACATGAGCACAAGAGCCCCTTCTCCTAAATCCTAAAGCCCCAAACTCTGAACCCTCAAAGCCCTAAGCCTCGAAATCCCTAAACTCTGAAACCCTTATTTGAACCCTAAACCCTTAAACCCCAAAACCCAAAACCCCAAAACCCTAAAACCCCAAACCCTAAACACCAAAACCCGAAAGCCCCAAACCCTAAACCCCTAAACCCTAAACCCCAAACCCTAAGCCCCTAAACCCTAAACCCTTCCAAAAGCCAAAACCCGAAAGTTGTTCATCGCCCGCAACACGAATCCCAGCCTGCAGCAAGTTGTCGCCGGGAAGCAGCCCCAGGGTACAGGGATTTCGGGTTTAGGGGTGTAGGGGTTTAAGGGTGTAGGGTTTAGGGCCGGTTTAGGGTTTAGGGTTTAGGGCCGCGTAGGGTTCAGGGTTCAGGGTTTAGGGTTCAGGGGTTCTGGATTTAGGGATTTAGGGGGGTTTAGCGGTTCAGGGCTTAGGATTTAGGACTTGTTTCGCCGCAGGGTCTATAACGGGGTTTAAAGTTTCGAAGCTGAGGAAGCATGAGTTGACTCGGGTCATTCTTGCTGGCAGACCAGACTTTCAACCCGGCAGAGTTGTAAAAAGTGGAGCACCGCGGGGGCGACTTCGAGTTTGTGGGTCAAGCCCGAAACCCCAAACCCTAAACCCTAAACCCTAAACCCTAAACCCTAAACCCTAAACCCTAAACCCTAAACCCTAAACTCAAGGACCTAAGGATGGCTACAAGGACTAGGGGTTTAGGTTTTAGGGTTGAGGGTTTAGGGTGCCCTTATCTAAGGGAAGCTACATGGTCCCTTCACTCAGAGTAGGCCCCTATTCCTTTGTTTGAGTTTAGGGTTTAGGGTTTAGGGTTTAGGGTTTAGGGTTTAGGGTTTAGGGTTTAGGGTTTAGGGTTTAGGGTTTAGGGTTCAGGGTTTGGGGTTTAGGGTTTAGGTTTAGGGTTCAGGGTTTAGGGTTTAGGGTTTAGGGTTTAGGGTTTAGGGTTTAGGGTTTAGGGTTTAGGGTTTAGGGTTTAGGGTTTAGGGCTACTAGGACCCAGAGTAGGCCGTTATTCCCTTTTTACAGGGTTCAGCTTCGCCTAGAAGCCCCTTCAAACCAAAAGGGCCCCCTTGTTCTTCCTAGGTTGATCTTGGGCCTGGTTCACATTCTTAGGGCAGTTTCTTGGTCCCTTGCTATGGGCCCTGAAACAGGGACCCCCTCAGTAGCTGAGTGAGTACACTTTACTCTTTTGGGGATCATATCATCCCTTTAGAACTGAAAGTGTACACTTCTTTGAGGCTTCTGAACTCAGCAACTAAGCCCCTTGTATACCCTTCAACATTAAGGGCCAAGGAAGAAATGTGCCCATGTTAAGGGTTTAGGGTTGAGGGTTTAGGGTTTAGGGTTTAGGGCCCATGGAACTACCCAAGCAGTTCATTCGGTCCCTTAGGTCTGGGGCCCCCGTTGGGTTCTTTATGGTTGTTACGGGGCATATAGAAAGTTCCCCCCATTTTGGGGGCCAGAAATCGCAAGAGACCATGAACTACCCTTACCCTAAGCCCCTAACCCCTTAGACCTTATGAATTCCGGACATTCTCTTGGGGTTCCCTCATAACTCCACCCCCTGGGATCCGAAGTCATAAGTTGGGTCCCTTGTTAATTGGCTCCCTTGTTATACAGCCCTTGCATACACTATATGTTTGAAGGGCCCATACTTCGGAGCCCTATAAACAAGGGCAAGGGACCACACTAAGGGCCCACGGTTCGAACCTTTATGGGCTCCCCTACTCTTCCCCTCTATACTATCCCCCCTAGGTTAGGTCTATTTAGGGGCAAATAAAGCCTAATTAAGGTTGTTTAAGGGGGGAACCTAGGGGGGGGTAGTAGAGAGGGGGATAGTAGGGAAACCCATGGAAGACATGTTTTTTTTTTTTTTTTTATGACCTTGGTTTGTGGGGTTCGGCGAGGGAAGCATCAGCATCTGCCCCATGGTCCTTGACTTTAGTGTTTAGGGCAAGGGTTTTAGGTTCAGGGTTCAGGGTTTGGGGTTTAGGGTGTAGGGTTCAGGGTTTAGGGTTTGGGTTTAGGGGGTTCAGCCCGCCTCCGAAAAGTGCCCAGTCCCGAAACTAAACCCAAAACACCGATGAATCATCACGCAGCATTTGTTTTTCATTCTTCTGCTACCGGCTACCCTAAACCCAAAACCCTAAACTCTAAAACCTAAACCCTAAACCCTTTCTTCTCCTACGCCCCACAACTAAAAACGCCCTGGTTAGTGTGAGGACTCATTTTGAAATGGCCAAGGATGCAGCAACGGCTTTGAGGGTATTTTTGGGATGGCCTGCAGGTACACAGTTCAGCGTCCTGAACTGCTTCCCACTCCAAGGCATGCTTCGTTGCACTGGGTTTGCCAAGGAGTGCCCGATGCCCCTGCACCCCTGCAATGAAAAGCTGCAGAACTACAAAGCCCTTGGACACAGGGTTGGCCCCACACACACAATCCACCCAAAAGAGACTGAGAAGCTGTTCCTTCGACGGAGTGTAGACTTTTGAGGCCAGCATCCCCTAAACCGGAACCCTAAACCCTACACCCTACACCCTACACCCTAAACCCTAAACCCTAAACCTTAAACCCTAAACCCTAAACCCTAAACCCTACGAGCGCCCCATATGAAGTCTTGCCAAGTCGATACGGTAGGCACGTGGGCTCAAGCTCGGTCTGGGTTCGGTGCTATCCTGGAAAGTTGCTGTACGGCAGAGGGTTTAGGGTTTCAGGGTTTAGGGTTTAGTTAGGGCTTGGGGTTTATAACTTTGCAGGCTTCACCATCCAGGTTCGCTACGCCACATCTACTGCTTTAGGGTATCAGGGCGTCCTAAACCCTAAACCCTGAACCCTAAACCCTAAACCCTAAACCCGAGCATCGCAGGGTTCAAATCCCTGCGCAAGCCATGACACGCCTTCGACGGCCCGAGTCCTACGAGGAGCTGTGTGCAGAGGGCCATTTTCGCGGCGCGTCCCCGCAACAGCACCTTGGTGTAGGGTTTAGGGTTTATGGTTAGGGTTTAGGGTTTAGGTTTAGGGTGCAGGGGAATTTGCGATGGTCGTAGTATGTGGGTAGGTTCTGGTCCTTGATTTTCGGGTGCCGTACTAGAATATGTAGGACCCCAAAAGGATTTAGTTTGCAGAACTACCCATCTGAACAATGGCTGTTTTCGAAATCTGAGCATGATGGCGGCAAAGTAGTTAATCAGCACCTTGGTTTTGATTTTCTTGCAGGCTGCACGTTACGAAGCCTCTCACACCGCGAAGTCATGCGAAGTCCAAACGAAATCTCCCCGAAGTACCTGCAACGATCGCGAATGCATGGCCTCACACTCAACTTCATCAAGGGCAATTCTCAGGGGTTGACTTGGGCAGTTCTTAGCAAAACGACTTCGGCAGGTGTAGGAGTTTGTAACCCTAAACCCTAAACCCTAAACCCTAAACCCTAAACCCTAAACCCTAAACCCTAAACCGGTTTGCAGAAGCTCTCACAAGGATCCTTGCCAACTGCGGCGCGATTTTCGTTCAAGGCTTGCCAGGCCGGTGTGGAGACCCTAAACCCTAAACCCTAAACCCCAAACCCCAAACCCCAAACCCCAAACTTCAAACCCTAAACCCTAACCCTAAACCCGAAACCCTAAATCGTGTTCATGTGATGTGGGGGCGGGGGGGGGGGGGGGTTTGGGTTCAGGGTTTTGGACTTGAGGTTTAGGGTTTATGATTTCGGGGGGGGGGGGGTTAATTTTAGGGGCCAGCGATGTTTCCAAGCCACAAGCGCTCCTCAAGCTCAACAAATCTTGACAACCAGCGTTAAGTACGAGCATCAACTACTCAAGAGCCGAGGACGCATGACAGGCGCGAGAAAGGAGACGAAGGTCGAAGACCTTGAAACTGTCACTCTTCCCGATCGCTTCGGAGCCAGAAATAACTAGGACCAGGAGTAGGCCCCTTTTTTCCTTCTTTTAGGGTTGGGGTTCCCTTATCATCCCCCTTAAAACCCAAAAGGGTACCCTTTTATTCCTAGGTGACTCCCGGTCCTTTTTTTAGGTGGGGTTCCCTTATAATCCCCCTTAAAACCCAAAAGGGTGCCCTTTTTCTTCCTAGGTTACTCCCGGTCTAGCTAAGGTATGTTCTTGGCTTCGGGGGTGGTACAGCACAGCGAAGCATGGGCTGTCGTTTAGGGTTTAGGGTTTAGGGTTTAGGGTTTAGGGTTTAGGGTTTAGGGTTTAGGGTTTAGGGTTTAGGGTTTAGGGTTTAGGGTTTAGGACTGAACTTGGGCAACTGTGGGTTCCGTCAGCGCCACAGGCCTTACTCGCCTCGGCTTCCAGCCGAGAGGGTCCATCCATGACCAATGTTGTCCCCTTAGTAGCTGAGTGAGCACACTTTACACTTTTTGGGATACTAGAATCCCCTACAGAACTGAAAGTGTACACTTTTAGGGGCTTGGGAACTCAGCAACTAAGTCCCTATCAAGCTCGTCATATATACAACTCCGTATAGTACTCATACTTTCTGCCCCGCTCACCCTTAAATCTCCACTCAGAGTCAGAACCCCCTAAACCCTAAACCCTGAACCCGAAACCCCAAACCCTAGACCCTAAACCCTAAACCCTAACCCCTAACCCTAAACCCTAAACCCTAAACCCAGGACATTGCATTCCTACAATTCGTGGCTTGCAGTGGCAGGTCTCCTGGCAGCTGGGGGCTTCCGCGCCGACAAGATTCCGCTCAGGGAGGAGGCGTTTGGCTTACAGGGTCTATAGGGTTTAGGGTTTAGGGTTTAGGGTTTAGGGTTTAGGGTTTAGGGTCCAGGGCTTGCGGCTTTGAACCGTCCCGAATGCGCGCGACAAAAAATCAAACGATCCGGTTCCGGCGCCCGCCATGCATACCACTTGCCTTGGTAGGACCTGGAAAAACTGCAGGTTGCCATTGTAGCAATGGTACAACAACTTGTTGCATTAAAGAGGGTGTTACTCCGTGGGCGCATCCTATAAACCCTAAACCCTAAGCCCTAAACCCTAAACCCTAAAGCCCCAAAGGTTTGCGTGCCAGGGTTCCCTTGACGTTTGTTGATCCGGATGGGAGCACGCACAGGGGTAAAACCATGAGCTTCCCTCAGCCCCAAAAGCCGAAGTCTCGTTAGTGCCGAGAACCCTTTAGGGTTTAGGGTCCAGGGTTCAGGGTTTAGGGTTTAGGGTTCTAGATTGCTGTCAGGTTTGCCGAAAACCCTGAGTCAGATTAGGAAGGCAATACCCCAAATCCCTTTCCCGGGTTGGACCCTGAGCAAACGAACTTCTTCTCTCCTAGGTACTTGGTAGCCCAGTGGTACCCTTCCCCTTTTGTTGGTTGAAGGTTCCCTCATAAAGTAACTAACCCCAAAAGGGTGCCCTTTTTATAGAATGGTTGCCGAGCTACCAAAGTTACCTTAAGCCCGGAAACCGTTGCTTTGCTGCTGGGTATATTGTGACATTTCCCTAAGTATCCTACTAGACGACCTGCAGTCAGCAGAGGTGTTGCAGGAGTGCTATGTCTGCTATGTCTTTGAACCCTAAACCCTAAGCCCTAAACCCTATAAACCCTATACCCTAAACTCCTTATCTGGAAGTGCCTCATGCCATGTCCTGCTGTCAGGTGCTGCAGGCAGGTGCCAACATCTTCGATGCCACCTCCTCCGTGGAATACGTGGATGCCCCACGGCAGATCGATGTCGCGTGTGGGGGCTCAGGGCTCCGGGCAGAGGAATCACTCACTCTACTTGGAGGTTCATGGTACTTATAAACCAGTTATAACTGTACTTGCAACTGTATTTATAACCATGTTAGGACACTTTACGGGGCTTATAAGTGGGTGATAAGTACAGTTTTAATTGGTTACTAAGTGCCATGAACCGCCAAGTACTCTACATAGAATATGCCGCGTGCCCTCTTCGAACTTGTGAGCGTTGGGGGTTGAAGGCTCAAGGCTTCAGTACTTAGGATGGAAGCAGGGAACGCAGAGCGCGGACCCATACCTAGGCCTCTTTGTACGCGCGGGCAAATTCTGTTTCTCTTGGCCAGAGGGCAAGTTACAGTATAGATGATGCAGAAGAGTACCGTGCTCTCTCGAACCCCCACACCCTGTCCCACAAGACCTGATGCGGCAAGGTTTTCGTGAGTCACCGCTGTGACGCAGCGAGGTGGCCAAAATACATGGCATTGTGTCTCTACCTGAACCCCGGCTTCAAGTATTCCTCTTGTTGCTGTCGCGAAGTTATTCTGAGGGCCCGCCGCCCAACCCTGGGCCCTGAACCCTGATCAGACGCCTGACACCTTCAGGAATCACCCTAAACCCTACACCCTAAAGCCTAAAACCCTAAACCCTATAAACCCTAAACTCTCTGAACCCTAAACCTATTAAGGAATCTGCCACTGGCCGTAACGTGCTCGGTGGCAGTTTGGCTGCTAACAGCGGTGGCGCTGGCCGCGCGCGCGGGGTCTGTCTCCGGTCTTGCAGCTTTGGCCCACCCCCTGCTTCTCGATGGCGATCACGAATTGGGGGGGTTTAGTTAGGGTTCAGGGTTTAGGGTTTAGGGTTCAGGGTTCAGGGTTTCGGGTTTAGGGTTTCGGGTTTAGGGTTTAGGGTTTAGGGTGTAGGGTGTAGGGTGTAGGGTTTAGGGTTTAGGGGGCAAAGCCGCAAAGCCATGAAGGCAAGATGCGGACACCTCAGGGTCCATCCCCTTGCTGCTCGATGTTTTCCTTATAGGGTTTACGTTTCTAGGGCGGCACCAATCGCGGCAGAACTCAATTGTCCTTAACGACCATGATCGGATAGACCACACAGGAAGGACAACTTCGCAGGCGCCTAACTTGTTCTTAAAAAGAAGAGGATGTGGCCAAACAATTGAACATCCACGTCCTCTTGGTGCACAGCTGGAAAGTTTTGACCAATCTCCCCTGTTCTAGGACACTAGCTCTCAGGACCAGGCGACACTGTCAGCATGCTCAAGCGTGCAATGCAGCAGGGTCGCAGAATTGGGGGATCAAGTTGCGACCATTCTGTGTTTTCCTAATAGGTCACAGGCGCACAAAAAACCTGGAGACTTGAAGTGTGCGGCGGGTTTTTCGTTCGGGTTTTGGGCACGTTGTGCTCGGAACTCCATGGCTAAGCTGACAGCCAGAGAATTAGGGTTTGCATAGGGTAGTGATGGAACACCCGCTAAAGCCGATGTTTTATGCACATGCAATATATTCCGCCTAAAAGTCTGAAAATGAGAGCACCAGGACGAATCATGAAATGTCAGCCATAGCCTACTTGCGGGCGTTCTAGTGAAAGGCCGCAATGGCAGCAAACAAGCACATAAAACCATGGTTTCTTACCATGTGTTACGACATGCACACAAGGGTCAGTTTTGTGCGTTTTTGTTTTTTGTTATTTTTGTTGCTTCTTCTGGCAGTTGTTAGGGCCGTCATGACGACGCACCGTGGTCGCATAGGCCTTGTGACAGTGCGTCTTGTTACAAAGAAACATCAAACATCCTGGTGCAGCATGTTGTGTAGAGGAGCAAAAACGCTGTAAATACCGGTGTTTTGGACATGGATAGAGTAACATGGGCGTAACCAACCCCCCCCCCCCCCCAAAAAAAAAAAAAAAACTCTCCAAACGTCCACGAAACAACCAGTTTTTTTACGCGCCTGTTTCCTCCTAATAGGGTGGGTTGGGAGTGGCTTGGGGGGGAACCCGACAAGACAAAGAGTTTCCCCCCCCGACCCCTTTGCGTGGGGGCCGGGGGGGGTGGGCCCGGCGGATACGCCCCCTAAGTCCTCGAAGTAGGTTAAACGTAGTCAAGCCAGCACCTTGCAACTGACCCCAAACCCAACACTCGCGTCCAAGCCAAAATGGTTGGAACTTGTAGGTGGGGGTTTAGGGTTTAGAGAGTTTAGGGTGCAGGGATTGGGGTTTAGGGTATGATATGGTTTGAACCATATCTTGTTTAGGCTCACAGCATTTAGGGTGTTGGATGACCCACTTGCAAAGCTGCAGGTTACTGCCCGTTTTGGTGCTGTTCCCCATGGTCGTGTTTCTTCTCATCTTCTTCTTCGGCCACCATGCCTCAAATCTATGCCGGCCTTTGTGCTTCTGGTTGGACCGTGCCTGCATCCACCAAACCGACTTCGAGCTACAGCATCGACAGATCCAGGCGCTGCCGGTATTTGTGGCTCGGTCCTCCTCCATGCTGGTGCCGCTCGGACAGCATCCTTGCACCACCTAATCATTCTAATCCCAAACCGCCGCATGTCAGCTTCAGCAAACAGCTCACAGCTGCAGTTGCGGTTTTACGTGTCTTCGGCTGCTCGTTTTTCAGCTTTGCCATAATTATGAGGTATGAGGAGAGGTGCCCCTCCCCCCAGAGAAGGAGCAAATGTAATGCTGTTGCTCGATAGACAGGATAAGAGGAAATTAGACACAGACCGGTCCCGACTTCGTGCACAAGAACGGCGAAATAAATAGCGTAACTGTGCGTATCTGAAGGTGTGTGCAAACAACGACTAAAGATGAAGGCAGTCAAGCCACATCCATGTTTAGACAGATGGGATCATGCATCCCTCCTACACGTTTTCCGTCTTAGGCTTTAGAGGGCTCAGGTTTCAGGGTTTACCAAAACCCAAAGCCCTAAACCCTAAACCCTATACCTTAAAGGGCTTAGTGTTCTTAGCATTTCTCCTCCAGAATATGGGCAGCGAGTTCTCAGCGCTTTGAATAAACAGCCCGCGATCTCCATCACAATCATACGCAACGCAATACTCTTAGGGTTTAGGGTTTGAGGGTTTCGGGTTTAGGGTTTAGGGTTTAGGGTTTAGGGATGCTTAAAGTTGTTGCACAAGTTGCAGTTGACGCTTGCGATCAAGAAGGCTATGGGACGATGAGTACTTTCAGCGACTCTGGTGCCAGCTTCTCGGCTTCCATGGGGGTGGTGCGGTCCTGCTTATAAGGGAATCCTACTATGTGGGGTCTCTGCTACGGGTCCCTGATTTTCGTAAACCCCCGAATGCACTCCACACTCTGCACCCTAAACCCCACCCTAAACCCTAAAAACCCAAAAACCATAAACCCTAAACCCTACACCCTAACACATCATTTCGGGGTTACTCAAAAGAAAGGCTCGAGCTGGCGACCTTTGCCAAGCATGGCGACATCAAGAAGGCAGCCCTGAAGCCTCAACGATAAGTAAATGGTCTCGGGTTTGAGGGTTTAGGGTTTAGTGTTCAGGGTGTGTCAGGGGAGGGCGTGCGCTCGGGTGTGAAACACCCCGGGCCGCGCGCTCGGGTTGCCTGTCAACCCACCCCGGCCACCCTTATACTCTATCAGGGTTTAGTGTTTATTGATATGATTATCTTCTGCGCCGATGCTTGTTTTTGATTTTTTTAAAGTTGCGGTGCGAAGATTGAAGTGGAGGCTCGGGGTAGCCTTGGTCCTTTTCGGGCCTTTGGCGTGACAAAGGCCCAAAGGCCTGCAGGGCTGCCCCCCTGCTCCCCTCCCCCCCCCCCCCCCCCCGAAAAATTAGGGGGCTTTAGGATATTGAGGGTTACCTTGTTAGTAATTAGGGTTTACATAGGGTTTAGGGTTTAGGGGTACCTAATTGGGCATTTAAAGGGGATCCTACGGTGTGGGGGTCCATTTTGGTGTCCCTTCTCATCGTAAACATGAAGCTTCAGGTGCCAAAGATACAAACTCCACGACGACTTTTCGGTCAACAACTTGTTGGGGCTTGAACCATATACATTTTTCATGAATGCCTATGAGGCCCTACAAACCCTAAACCCTTGCAACCCTAAACCCTAAACCCTTGCAACCCGAAACCCAGAAACATCAACCTGTGGGGCTTTGGTCAGGTGAGTTTTCTACCTCTTTGGCTTGCGCCGTGGCTGCTGTCGGCCTTTGCAATCGACCTTTTTCTGGTCGCCGTCTGGTTCCTCTTCGAAACCCGACCTGACTTGTTGTTAGATGTAGGGTTTAGGGTTTAGGGCTTGACGTGTTGTTAGGTTTAGGGTTTCGTGTTGACTTTAGCCTTAACGCCTTGACCCATTTACACGCTTTGGACACTAGAAGTGCTGAGCCCTCCCCCGCCAATGTAGTGTCAACAGCGAAACCAGGAGATTTCTGGCACTTAGTAACTAATTAAAACTGTACTTGGTAACTAATTAAAACTGTACTTAGTAACTAATTAAAACTGTACTGACAACCCCATGATCGCCTAGGCAACTCTAGACTTACGTAGGGGACGTATACTTGGGTTGCAAGTACAGTTATAAGTAGCTGCCAAGTACCATGAACTTCCAAGAAGGAGCTGATCCCACCAAGTATGTTGTCTTGGTTGATGGATGCTGTGACGCCGGACATTGTGCGGGGCACGCGCTTTGCTTTCGACGTGGGCTTTGCAATACTCTTTGTCACTGCGGACGAAGTTGTGGGATGTGTTCAGCGTTTCTGTTTTGAGTGGTGCGTAGTTGCAAGCCATATGACACCTAAGCCTAAACCCTGAACTGTCAACCACAAACCCTAAACGCCCTGGCCCATGATCGAGGTAGTAGCAGGAATGTCGGTGGGGCTTTTGGTTGCCTTGACCTGGTCGTCCTACTGCAGAACCAAGCTGAGCAGTCATGCCTTGATGCTGGAGCCTTGACCGTTCTGACACGGATGTGGAAAGTTTCTGAAAACAGGGGTTCTTCAATAAGGGTAGCATAGCAGTTTAGCTTAGGTACATTAGGGTACCTCTACTTTGGGAAATATCTTCTATCAGACAAAGGGTGAGCATGCCAACTTTTACAGGGGTCCCAACCAGAACGGTTGAGGAGCAGATGTCGAACTTCGACTGGAGGGCTGCGAAGTGCACGAAGGCGGAAGACCGCCGCATAGTGCAGCATCAGATGTGCGAGCTCTTTCGTGAAGGCAGAGAGATGAAGGAGGTGGATCAGCAGGCAGACCATCAACAGACTTCATCCACTGCCATGGGCGAGCCTGATGCGGATGCACTGCCCCACGTCTCTGACGAGCCGTGTGGGATGTTGCTCGACGAAGGGCCCCTGGATGCGTTCAATGCTTTCATTCGAGGCTCCGTGCGAACGTTTGTCTTGGACCGCGTCGGTGGCGAGATGCACGTTCCGTACAGCCTGTGCCTTGTTGCTGCTCTGCCCACGAGCTTTTATTCATTGGTGGATATTTCGTACACCCTTGCCAACGAAGAGCTCGTCCGTGCAAGTGGACTTTCATCCGTTGAGGCTTTCGCTTGTGCAAACTGCTTAAGTTGGCCTGCCTTTGTACTACTGATTCTCCCCATCTACTACCCCATCTATCTTCGCATGCTCAAGCATGCTTTGTACATCCAATCCAGACCGCTGCGGCTTGTTCTGACAATCGTCAGCGGTACAGCGACCCACGCCTATGGCGCCGCCTGCATGGCCATCGTCGAGAGTTCTGCGACGCTTTGCGTGCAGCAAGCTGCGTTTAGCTGGGTCCTGCCGCTCGTCCTGCTGCTTCTCCTCCTTCAGCTGCGATGCCTTTTTCACGGCGGCGGCCACTCCAGCCCGGGCATTGCAGGGAGGGTAATGAGAATTCCTCACTGAACCTTAACTACAAACCACACTGAGCTAGGTTTGATCGTTCACACAACCCAAACCTTAAACGCGAGAGGTGATGCTTGGCTGGGGTGCACCTTCGGTACAGCGTTTTGGGCAATTGTTAGTTATGGGGGTTTAGCATAGAGGGTGGAGGGGGAGAGGGTTTAGGGTTTAGGGTTTCGGGTGTCGGGTGTAGGGTTTGGGGTTTAAGGTTTCGGGCTTCGGGTTTCGGGGTAGCCACGACCTGGGACTTACCCCTCCCAAGATCCAAATACCACCCCGAGCCAAACACGAGAAACTGGCCCCCGGCACATATGCTTTCTTTCTCAGACGGTGTGTATGATGTATACTGAGTATACTGCATACATACCCTAAACCCTAAACCCTAAACCCTAAACCCTAAACCCTAAACCCTAAACCCCTAAACCCTATAGCTGCCCACAGACCCCTCCCCCCACCCCCCCCAACCCCCCGACTTGGAAGCCGTAACTCCACTCTGCCATTCTTCCCTACCCCGATACAAGGACCCTAAACCCTAAACCCTAAACCCTAAACCCTAAACCCTAAACCCTAAACCCTAAACCCTAAACCCTAAACCCTAAACCCTAAACCCTAAACCCTAAACCCTAAACCCTAGACTACGAGTATGAGACAATCTATATGGATTAGGGCCCAGGTTTTAGGGTTTATGGCTTAGGCTCTAACCCCCACGAAACCCACATGTCGAGCATCCGGAAGTAGAGGGTAAACCCTAAACCCTAAACCCTAAACCATCAAAACACTGCCAGGTCCTCAACTTTGCTGCCAGTCGCAGTTGGATTCAAGGCATTCGGGGGATCCCAGCTACCGACCCTTGCATCTTGGGGGCAGGCTTGGAAACATTGTCGCCCTAAACCCTGAACGCTGTATAACACGAATCCCCGAACCCTACTAATCCCTACTTCCCAAACAGCATTCCCTGACCCTAATCCCTGAACCCTAATCGTGCCCTTTTTGTTTCTTACTTAATCAGCCTCCTACGACAATGCTCAGCACGCAATGCCGCGGGCTGAGAAGCTGAGGTATGCAGAAGATGCCTGAAAAGACCTGAAGACGAGTCTGAACCGCTCGGAAGATTTGGGGTCCAGCTTTAAAGATTTGGGGTCCAGCTTCAAAGTGAAGCGCTTTTGAACTGAAATGTTTGGAGTTTCCAGGCTTCACGGCACGCTGGCCACAAAACGAGAATGGGCCAACGGGGCGGGCGGGCGCCCCTGTTCATATTCCAAAACCACGGTAATCTAGTTGAGAACGAAGGGAACTTCAAAACCCTAAAGCCTAAACCCTAGACCTTAACCCTAGAAACCCGAAGCCCTAAAAACCCTAAACTTTAGAAACCCTCAAAACCCTTATGTAAAAAAGCCTAAACCCTAAAACCCCTAAACTTTAGAAACACTCAAAACCCTTTAAACAACAACAAAAACCAAACCCTAAAACCCCTAAACTTCAGAAACCCTAGAGATGAGGTTTCGCAGCCTGCGTGCCCTGAGGCTTGTTTTTCCCATCTCGCATGACAGTGCCGAAGGCAGTTCGACCTCTGGCTGTGGCAGGCCCTGGGATATGATACGATACATATATACATAAGATGAATAGTAAGAATATTTCTAATTCCAATAATAAGAAGAAGAATAATGATGATGATGATTTAAATCAGAATAACGCTAATAATAATCAGAATATGAAGAAGAAGAATAGTAATACCAGTACTATGATATGATATGATGTGATGTGATATGATATGAGATATATATAGTAGTACGAAGAAGTACATGTAGAGCAAGAACAAGAATACGAACACTAAGAATAAGAATAATATTCGTATGACGAAAACGAAGAATAGAAATATCAAGAAAGTTGTACTTACTGTTGGGCTGTGAGATAGTTCTATTGACGGTTTTGAAGGTAGTAATAGTAAGAAGAATAATACGAAGAACTAAACTAACAAGACAAGTGTAATTACTGTTGGGCTGTGAGATAGTTCTGTTGAAGTGTTTGAAGGGCCCCAAACATACTAGCGACGCGCCGGACTTCGAGTCGACCGAGTGTCAGCACCGAGCAAATGCTGTTGACTGCTTTCGTGTCAGTCCAGACGCCAGAACCCTGGGAAAACCTAAACCCCAAACCCTAAACCCTTGCGGGACATAGGGGTTCCTAAGCACGACCCAAAACTAGTAGAGGCCTAAACCCTAGAAACCCTAAGCTTAAACCGTAAACTTCCCTAAAAGGGCATTGACTTGGGGGCTCTTTTTTTCGATCCTTCCAGGTGTCTGGGACTAGAATTCGCGAGCTGCGAAGCAGCACTAAGATCTTAGAGCTAGGGTCTAGAATCCTTAGGGTTTTGGTTTTAGGGTTTAGGGTGCATGATCCTTGACCCTCGTCCTAGCCCCATGAGAGTCCGTAGCCCGACTAGATTCTGGCAAATTCTCTTCAAGCGAGGGGGCCCTCCAAGTTCGCACCCTTCTGCGGTTTCAAAAAGTCTGTCGCTTTGAAGCCAAGAATTTTGCTGACATGTTGCTTCTGAATCTCTTCACCGTGCAGGATTACTATTCTAGTCAGACCCTTATTGGGTTTAAGAGGATCATGGTGGATCATATTCAGGAATATGTTTTTCATAGGGTGTTCAGGGGCCATCCTAGCATTTCATCAGTGAGCATCTTTTTCATCATGATTGGTGCTGGGTTTGGGTTTAGGCCTGCCTCCGTGCACGCCCCCTGCCAGGTGCTTCCTTGAGCACGTTCCTCTTGTGATGATTGTAGACTCCTAAACGCTAGACTTAACCCTAAACCCTAAACCCTAAGGCTAACATCCGTTGAGCCTTATAAGCCTTTCACAGCATCAGCGATGCACGGATTCTTGGCAATCTGATGGCGGAAGGACATGGGCTCAACTCAACCAGGGGCTCCATCCTAATTTGTAGGGCATGCGTGAAGTGTACGGTTCAGGGTCAGGGTTTAGGGTTTAGGGCTTAGGGCTTAGGGCTTAGGGCTTAGGGCTTAGGGCTTAGGGCTTAGGGCTTAGGGTTTAGGGTTTAGGGTTTAGGGTTTAGGGTTTAGGGTTTAGGGTTTAGGGTTTAGGGTTTAGGGTTTAGGGTTTAGGGTGAAACCCTAAACCCTAAACCCACACAGGGTTCCTATACACCAAATAATCTCTGCGCGCGCCGGGTTGGCCTTGGCAGGCCTCGCTAGTCGCTGCCCTGCACTTGTGCATGAAAAGGGCTCGTTTGAGCATTCTCAGGCTCAAAGCCTTAAACCCTTCAATGCAAAATTCTGAATGCCTCCAAAGCCCTACCCGAACTAAACCTAAACCATTCAACTCTACAGCCCATAAACCTTAAAACCCTTCAACTAGAAGACCCTGAATCTCACTATTCAATATTCTGCCGCTGTCACCCTAAACCCTAAACCCTAAACCCTATACCCTATACCCTATAAACCCTAAACACAAAACCCTCAACCCTAAACGGGGTTTAGCCATGTCACGCCTGAGACGGCCCGAGTCCTTCGAGAAGCTGCGTGTGGAGGGCCATTTCCGCGGCGCGTCGCCGCAACAGCGCCGTGGCCCAGAGGTCTTTGCGATCATCGATCATCGTGTTTAGGGTTTTAAGGTTTTAGGGTTTAGGGTTTAGGGTTTAGAGTTTAGGCTTTAGGCTTTAGGCTTTAGGCTTTAGGGTTTAGGGTTTAGGGTTTAGGGAGAGGATGGGTAGGTTCTCTAAATTCGGGCCCCTTTTTTGGGTGTCATCTTCTTTAAGTGCGCCGTCCTCTAGTATATAGGACCCAAAAAGGGGCGATGTTATGATTATTGGGTGTTATAGAAAGGAGTGGGGGGGGAGGTTTGGGATTGAAATTGTATGCTCCATGAATCCGATGTATTTTGACAACAGAAGCCATCTCTTCCGGCACAGCATTTAAACCCTGAACCCTAAACCTTGAACCCAAAACCCGAAACTCTTGACCCGAAACCCTAAACCCCAAACCCTAAACACTAAACCCTAAACCCTAAACCCCAAACCCTAAACCCTCAATCAAAACCCTAAAGGTCCACCTAAACCCTTCAGCCCGAACTGAACTCTCTGGAGGTTCAGAAGAGTTTTAGAACCCTAAGGCCGCAGAAAATGAAACAGCGCCGGTTTAGGGTTTAGGGTTTAGGGTTTAGGGTTTAGGGTTTAGGGTTTAGGGTTTAGGTCCAAGCAAAGATCTGGAGCCTATAAAATGCGTGCCCCTATCATATAAGATCGGGTCCCTTGGGTAAGGAGAGTATGTAAGTTTAGGTGTTTTTCAGGGAGAGGCTATGTAAGATCAGGTCGTGTCGGTAAGGAGAGTACGTAACCTTTGGTGTTTTTCAGGGAGAGGCTTCGTAAGAGCAGGCTGCCTGACTTCTAAGTTCTGGTGTTTTTTGGCAGATGCTGCATGGGTCTCCTGCGCAGGTTTGTGCGTGCTTCAACACGGGCCTCCTACGGGGACCCTTGGCAACTTGCGGGCTGCTTACGTGCCACTTACGTGCCACTTACCACTTACGCGCCACTTACGGCCACTTACGTGCCGCTTACATGCCACTTACATGCCGCTTACATGCCGCTCAGGCCACTTGCGAACTTACGGGCCCCTCATGGGCCTTCGCGCCACTTACAAGCCTATAAAGTTGAACCTATAAAGAGCCATGCGCGAGCCACTTACGGGCCTCTGGCTGCTTCGAGCCTTCTGCGGACCTGGTCTTGGAGTTCGAGCGACGAGAGCTTGCTTGACGAATGCTGCGCCCGTTCGACTGACAAAAAAACGGGGCCCTGACAAACCCTGGATCGGGTTGAATTCTCACGAGAGCTTACTCAAAGACAGGGTCGACGCAAAAACATGCTTACACAGGATAGCCAAGCCTCAGCCCTTTTTGACCTTACAAGCTTCTCATTTGCTCTTTCCCGAGACATCCCCTCACATGTGCCTCACATGCCACTCGCCAGCCACTCACCAACCCAACCGCAACCTCTTATATGATAGGGGCACGCATTTTATAGGCACCTGATCATCCCCTTGATTAGGGTTTAGGGTTTAGGGTTTAGGGTTTAGGGTTTAGGGTTTAGGGAGGGCTTAGGGCTTAGGGCGCAGCATTGGTTTGCTGAACGCAATGTGGCATGAAGACATCCAAGAGTCCAAGACTACCCCAAACCCGAAACCCTAAACCCTAAACCCTAAACCCTAAACCCTAAACCCTAAACCCTAAACCCTAAACCCTAAACCCTAAACCCTAAACCCTAAACCCTAAACCCTAAACCCTACAAACCCTAACCTATAAACCCTAAGCCCTAAACCCTAAACCCTAAACCCTAAACCCTAAACCCTAAACCCTAAACCCTAAACCCTAAACCCTAAACCCTAAACCCTAAACCCTAAACCCTAAACCCTCACCACGAAACCACACCGGAGCCTGCTCAAACCAAGCCGAAGCCACCTATGCGCTCGATAGAGGCGAGAGGGGTGGCAGGTTTAGGGCTCATGGCCCCTTATCGTCTTTAAAGGGTCCGGGTCCTGAAGCCTGAAGTGGGTTGGTTCTGTAGGTATATAATGCGGGCGTGACTTGGGGCAGGTGTAGGAGTTTGTAACCCCAAACCCTAAATCCTAAACCCTAAACCCTAAACCCTAAACCCTAGACCGGTTTGCGGCAGCTCTCCACAAGGATCCTTGCCAACTGCGGCGCGATTTTCGTGCACGGCTTGCCAGGCCAGGGTGGAGCATCGCAAGCCTAGAAGCCCTAAATCGTGTTCATGTGATTTGGGGTTTTGGGGTTTAGGGTTTAGGGTTTAGGGTTTAGGGTTAGTGTTTAGAAGCCCTAAACCGTGTTCATGTGATTTGGGGGTGGGGCGGGCGGGGGTTTGGGGTTTGGGGATGTTTGGGGAGTTTGGGGTTTAGGGTTTAGTGTTTAGGGTTTAGGGTTTCGGGGTGATTTGGAGGGGGGGTTTAGAGGCCAGAGATGTTTCCAAGCCACAAGCGCTCCCCAAGCGCTACAAATCTCCGTTCTTTTCTACAGCACCGGCCTAAGTGATGACCAATGTT